AATTCCCTGTGAAAGTTGTAGAGTTTCAGTAAAGTACATCAATTGTAGAAATAAAATATATAATGTACATAAATATTACATTTGTAAAGAAAATGTAAAAAATGTAACTAAAAAAAGACTTAGCTCAGTGTGCAGAATTGTTGAGTGCTCAATGATGAATTGTTTTGTCCCAGGCTAGACAATGAAGTTGACTATTAAAACGTGCTAAAAAAAGTGTCCATGTAGAAAGAACACAGCTGCTGCTTCTGTTAATTTTAGGTGAATTTATTTATGATTGGCTTACTAATTAAAAATATTTTGCTTTATCATGTGTTTTTATATTTATGCAAGTATAATCTTTTTGCAACTAAACTCTTACTGAACTGAATATTGAAGAGAACATGTTTACCACTTTATTTCACAGACCTCTGGAAGGGAGGAGAAAACACTGCATAGTCTGAAATGAGCTATTGGTGTAAAGTTCCTAAAACCCTACTTATGTATTATCCTAAAGAAGGCATATCTGTTAACATTGTTTTACATTTTGTAAACTACTGTAGTCTTGGTCCAGGTTTCTGTAACTTGTGTTGTCTGCCGTTTAGAGTAAGCATGGGTAATCACTCACTCACACTTGATGATTTGATTTCTGCTGTGATCTACAGAAAAAAAAAGGGGGTGTAAAAATTAATTACCCTATATCAATGAAAGTAAAGACTTAAAAATGTCAAAATTCAAAATGTAATCACACTGTTGCATCTTTCTGAAACCTTGTTCTTGCTAATGTTGTAGGAACTCAGTGGTTTGGGCTTTTTGATAGATTTATCCCAGATTTTTAAATTTGGTTGTTAAGTTGGGATGGTTTTGGTTTGGTTTTTTTAGAGGCATATTAGAAATAATTCATAAAGCACAATCACTCACACTTATTCTGAACTCTGTTTATTTGTTTGGTTTAATGATATGGGACTACGATGAAATAATTAAGTACAAAAAAGTAAATGATGATTAGTATGATTACATTTTATTTTAAAGTAGCCTTGAAAATGCTAACATTGCATTTTAACTGCCATATCCCCTGAATCAAATAGTCAAGATCAAAAGTACTAGCTATGGATTGCAAATGCTTTAAAAGCTGCACTAATTACATTCTGCAAGTGGTGTTATTCTGCATGTTAGCACAAACTCATGGTTTGGAAAAGATACCTTATAAGTTAAATATTTGTGTTGTCCTTAACTAAATGTGTTTAAGTTACCCAAAGATTACTTAAGAGAAACTTTCCATTTAGTAAATTAATTTATCATGTAATAAATGTCTGAGACAGTGCTGAATGTTGTCCCTAAATCAGACCTCTCCAGGATTTCAGTACTTGTTTGTAGATTAATTTGCACTGGGTGAAAGCTAAGTACTGCTGAAGAGTGGGGCATCTTAAAAATCATTTGTCATTGCGAAGATGAGAAGAGCATGTTACGATTTTAAATGCCCCATGATAGATGCTTCTGACTTGTGAGCTTGGTATTGCATATCTGGGAACATACTATACCATGATTAATTGCAACGTATTCTGTAAAAGCATTACTTAAAGCTTTATTCTTCTATGTTTTTTTGTATAGAAAAATTATGAAAAGTACATCTTGAGAGCTATTTGTTCAGTAAAATTATGACACGGCACAGAGAATCTAGTTATTTTTTACTAATTATAGAGCACATCTCCATTCTGACTGATCTTTAGTCTAAATTTTAAAAAGCCAGTCTCATAGAAGTATCGTGAATTTGAAACATCTCAGGATTTAGTGTTATGACCAACAGAGTATCTGTAGGCATGGCAAAAGTATCTAAAAGACAGTTTTATTTATGATGGTTTGGATCACACCACTGTAGCAGAAGATACATGCCAGAAGATTAATCCCTACCAAGGGATGCTCTGTGAAGCTCAACAGGCTTATTGCCTGCTGAGTAAGATTTTGGAGGCGAGAGAAGGGGCATGCTTTTGTATCTGTTTAAAGTCCTGAACTGTCCAAAGAAGATCTCTAGCCATTTTAGGGACTGAACTCTTCCCAAAACGCCTTCAACACTGCATAATGTAAATCGTGCCTGTTTAGTGAAAAATGTAAGATGTGCTGAGGAAAATGTTCCCCAGCCCCAGCTAAGTAAGTGTTTGGGGGATCGGTTCAAATTCTCAGCATTTTAAATACTGACTGTGCGCATCCCTTTCCATGTCTCAGTTCTAAAAGCAACATCTTGTACCTCTTTTACCAACTAAGTGGTATGGGAGTTCCCGTTGGAGAAATTGCAGTCCAGGAAGCTCTTACAATGGTAGGACACAGGATGCAGCTCCCAGAGAATTAGTACCAAGCTTGATGGTGTTACTATGTTCTTAAGCTTATTAGAAATAAGGCTATTCATTAATCTTGCTGTAGAGCTTCATGGCAATGGAGAAAAGATGACCAGGTGTGGGTGATTTTGTTTGGCTTTGGTTTTCTGTACATTTTGTCAGATACTGAAAAGATGGTTTTGTCATTACTGGTGTTTTTAAAAAGCCAGAATCAGTTGTTAGTAATCCTGAGAGTCAAGAGCTCTTCAGTAATTTTAAATGTGGAGTCTTATTTTTTTCCAGGCCAAATACATTTTAAGAATTTTATGCAAAATCTTCGAAGTATGGGACAGAAGTTGGTTTATGAGGGAATAATTACAACCTCAATTCCTGATTTCTGCAGTTAGAAGTATTAAGTCATCCATGAGAGCCCTGAAAGATCTCATTTTGATGTCAACTTTGGAGTATATTTTGTCTCGGCACTGTATTCTGATTGTGAGCAAGATGTAACCCTGCAGAAGCTTAGTGGCCTGTTTCAGTAATAGAGAGTCTGGAGGTCTGAGGCTCTAACTGGTGATGAATTTATGGAATACCCCAAATACGTGTCAGTTGCTATGTCAAAAATTACTTTAGCGATTTTTTTTTTTTTTTATTTAAAAGCAGTTCTTCAGATTTTAATACATATTAAATCTTTTATGTAATTCTTTGTGGTAGTTTACTCTGTTTAAAAACAAAAAGGGTGGAGGGGTGTCTACATACGCTATTGCTTCTCAGCTCTTCATAAATGAGGTAGAATATAATTCTTTCAGAATCACAAAGATTAAGTTCTAACTAGAAGGATGTAATAGTAATGCCTGTCGGACCCAGATAATTCTGAAATTTAGCGTAACAGGTTTTTTTGGTACAGTTGTGTTGGGAATTTTAAAGGTGGGGTGGGTGGACTGTAATGATTTATTGATGTATCTTTTATCTGTCAGTTCCTAGAATTAAAAAAGCACATTTCTAGCAGCCTTGCATGCCTCTTACTTAAATTGATACTATGTTATATTCAGATGCAGGAATCTGCAAAGTGTGGTTACAACTATTGCAAATAACTGGGATTAGAAGTCTGTTGTGAGAACATTTTGTTTTTCGTTGCAAGCTACTAATGATGCCTTTTCATGAAAAATCCAAAGGCATCCTACTTGTTTGAGTGTAGCAAGAGAATTCTCAGATGATTAGTGCCATGTAAAAGAGATTATTACAAGAGCAATGAAAATTCAAACTACTACATTATAGGTGCTTCTTCAGTTTATGCGCCAGTCCTGAATTCTTCCTGATTTCCACTTGCAGGGCCTTCAGTGTCTTTTCCTTTGCAATTTTGATAACTAGAAAATATCAAACATTTCACAGAATTTCTTCTTATTTTCCTCTGAAAGTCCTTAGCAAAAGAACTGCTTAATTCGGAATATCAATCATGCACAAGATTTTAGCAGTTGCACACTTCCACAGAAGATAAATAGAGGAGATGCAGAACTCCTGGAAATATTTCAGCACCTGTTTAAAAAATATATTTGGAAAAGGAGAATGAGTTCTAATCTTGTTTTTCTTGCACCTGTTCACCTTTATGATTTTGTTTTATATTTTCTTAAAGCTGCATATGTGGGTTGTATTTGATTTTTCAGATGCTAAGAGAACACCACTCTAGGGGCATCAGCAAATACAGATCTCCAATTACACCCTTCAGCATGTTACCATTGAAAGAAAAGTGACAGTTTTAAAAAAGTCAAGAGCGTTGGAAGGAAGCACTGTTTGGCTTGCAAGTAGTATAATCTTTCTTTTCTTGTGTTTATCAACATGAGTAGAAAGCCTCCCACGCTGAGGCTCTGTGGGATTCTTGAGTGAAGTGGTTACTGGCACAAGAATCCTCAAGCATGAGGAAGAGTTGGTGATAATTAACCATCTTGGTAATCTGCTAGTCATAGGAAATGTTATTCTTCTCATAAATTGTTTGCAAAGATATTTTAAAAATTAACAAAATAGTTTATTTTAATGAGTGTTAGAACATCACTTAGGAAAATACTATGTCTTTTGTTAATAACTTCTGTAGATACGATGCTTTCAAAAAAATGCTACAGGCTGTAAATCCCAGCTTTTACAAATACAAAATGTTACCAAAAATTACCGGATGACCTAATGCTGAAGCAAAGAAAAAAAGAATAAAATGTGTAGTAATCATCTGTAGCTAAGGAATTCTTTCTGCTTTTCTTTCTCTTTGGCGGCTGAATACACTGCTTTCATCATCCGAAGCAGAGCTTAGGGGAAGCCAGGAGTAAAAGTAGAACTGGAACCAGTGGTGTGTGTGCTGGATGTCTTCATCCAGCGTGCTGAGCGCGTGCACAGCTTCTGAAAGATTCGTGCTTTGACTGCCTATCCGGATGTTGGAGTTTAGCCACTTCTTGTGATATGGCTGTATTTCTAAGTGCCTCATATTTTTATTCGAAGTAAAAAGCCATTTGAGTTTCCAGGCTCTCCCCTTTCTCTCCCCTTCCCATCCAAACTATCATTTCTAATTGCCAAAAATACTTTGTTTACACAAAAGCATGATTTATTCTTGGAGAGCAAGCACGAAATCTTTCAGCCTTCCCAACATGTATTTTGAAAGTTTCAGTTCCTGGAAAAAGAGTGGGAAGTGCCTCTGCAACCACGGCTGTGGCATCTCTAGCAGCGCCGATGGGACGGATTGGTTCTGCAGGAGGAACGCAGCCGTTGAGAAAGGCGGCGCGCGAGGGGTCTGTCAGCTGCTCCATCACTGTCAAACCGCAGCTAGATCATCGAGCGGCGGTGCCCATCCACCTGTGCTGGGATCCTGCCTCCTTCAAGAGTCACTGGTACCGGATGAAACGTGAGAAATCCCTAGTGCACAGGTTGCCCTACCCGGAGTTGCGTCTCTACCTGACATACTTGGAGATAAGCTTGACGTGTGAAAGCCTGTCGGCATTTTTGCTTATCAGAATAACTGAGTATTGTTGACCTGAGATTCAATAATTTCTTCTAATGAAGTTTTGTGATCTAATAACCCGTGAAGAAAAATATTTTTTTTTTTTCTTATTTCTGAAAGTTGCTGAATGCTCTGTAGCTTCCAGTGCTGGGGAGAATAGGAGATACCGAACTGCTCTATACCCTTCTTTCTTTGATACATGGTTATCATGTCCTCTCCTTAATTTGATTTCTAAGGTTTTCAGTTTCTCGGTATGTTTGAATTTTTCATAGAATCACAGAATGCGTTGGGATGGAAGGGACCTTTAAAGGTCATCTAGTCCACCCCCCTGCAATGGACAGGGACATCTACAACCAGATCAGGTTGCTCAGAGCCCCGTCCAGCCTGGCCTTGAATGTTTCCAAGGATGGGGCATCTACCACCTCAGTGATTAAATAGGTCATTAAATCATTAAACACATTATTTTATTGGCAAGACCAATTGATACTTTTTACTGCGTTGAAAATCTGAATACAGGGTTTAATTTCTTTGCCTACTTTCCCCTGTATATTGCTTAATACTTGATTTAGAGATTAATGCTTTATATTAAAAATATGTGTATATACACACGTGTGTGTAATTCCTTTTAGATGAATATTCATCAAGTACATAATTTTATGAAGCCTTACTGACTGTCAGTTTGAAGGCAATTTCTTACAAACCACAGTTCAGAGACTTTGCTTTCAAAAACTTTAGCAACACATTTCCTTAATGTTAGATTATTGAGTAATAGTAGAACATAAGTTACTACAAAGCAACCTTTTGATGGTGTTCATCTGTCTTCTCAGACCACCTGCTAAGGCCATACTTGAGATAGGGTGCCTGGTGCTATGCAAGGTATTGCAAATGGTGTTGCATGAACTGATTTACATCAAGGTGGATATCACCAGCCTTTCCTCCCTTCTACTCTTTTTCATCCTAATTTCTTGTTGCAGCGATCTTTGTTAACAGTAATACCCAGTTCTTTAAATCAGTGTGTGTTACAAAAAATAAGTTCTGTTATATGGCTTCCTGGAGAAGTTTAAAAAACAACACAAAACAGAAACAAAACCTGTGAATGATCTTTCCTCATCAATGGCAGTTTCTTAAGGTAGCAGGAAGAATCCTTCAGCTCCGTACTTCAGAGTTTAGGACTTGCCTTAAAAAATAATTAGAAGTAACCAAAATCTTGTAGAAACTGTGCATGATGCAGAAAGAGCTAGGCAGGACTGCAGGACTTACTGAAGGGTTTGGACTTCTAGGAATGCCCTTCAGCCTTAACTTGTGGATTTTACATGAATCAAATGTAAAAATGGCTTAGGAGGCAGCCTGTTCTCCAACAAGTTGCCGTGCTCCTGGCAGTCTTCCTTCCTTAGCCTAAAACAGTAACAGGGCAGACAACATGATAGCACCTCAAAGGGAGGGAGAGCTGTTACCCAGACAAAGAATATTGCCACAAAACCCTTGCGCAAAGGCACTCTGCGGAGCAGGCGAATGGAGTACAATTTCTTGGGAAGTGAGTGGGGTTGGAGTGGATGCTCAGGTCCCTGAATATTTGCATACAACGGGATGTCGGAATTTTTAGAATTAATATGGTTGTGACTCAGAGTTTGTGCTCAGCTCTGGTGTTCATTTGTAATGACTAATGTGAAATGGCTAAACAAAAACAAACAAAAAGAACCTGTGTATCTAGGTGTGCATGGCTTCTGCTATAAATACTGTTTGTGCTTGTCTGAGGAGTCCTTTGTTATTGCTATTTGCAGTTTTGGGACTGTAAAGTATTTCTTTATTTTGGTTCTAGTCTTTCACCTTGATTCCACGGTCTCTTCCGTGTATTTGAGTGAAGCGTGTCGAGCTGTGCATAGCCATTACTAACGCTCAGCTGTTAGCACTGAGTACCTCGGCAGAGGTTTCCCTGAGGACCCCTGACCGCAAGGATCGCGCCGTGCTGTGTGCTGAACAGTCATTGCTTCCTGTCCCACGCTGATGGCGTTAAATTTACCTGTTCTCACGTCTGAAGCCATGAGTCATTCAGAGGTGTAGTGTAGGTCATTACGACTGCCTGAGTGAGGAGAACCACTGATGTAAATATAGGGTTTCTGAGCTCTTTTTAATCCTGCAGGTGCCAAGCTAAAGACTGGAGCTCTGTCTCCGTGGTAGACTGGTGCAAAAGGAGCCAGAGCCTGAAGTGGGCTGAAGCTCTACCGGGTGTGGGTGTTGTATCAAGGGAAGAGTATAACAGCTGAACTTTTCCCTTGTGCTACTGCTCTTTGATGATAGATTGTCCTGCCTTTGAGGAGGAGCTGGGCCTGGAATGGCTCCAGAACTAGGAAACCCTAAATGGGAGCGCTCTGCCTGTATTTTTCTGGTGCGTTGGTTTTGTATTTCTCCCTGGAGCTGTGGTTCCAGTGGCAGCTTAGGCCGATTTCCCTGCACGAGGGTGCCAAAAGGGGAATCTCCGCCCTGTCCCTACA